CATAGCCTTCACAAAAAATTGAATCAAACTGAAATAGAAATCGAGTACTATCTGCAGTGACAAGTGAATGGTTCAGATGCAATGCCGAACCAGATTTTTCGCTTGTGATGTGCTGCAAGTCATGCAACGGTGTCACCGTAGATTATCGAGAACGAGGTGCTGAGTGAGTATCTTTCGATTTAGTTGTCTTTGGTAAGTTGTTACGACACGATCGAGGTACCGCAATTCAGATGAGATTCTGGGCGGGGTGGCATAATGTTGTGGTGAGGCTCACCGTACACACAGGGACCAGGGGCCCAAATCTCGGATCAACCTTTACCAAGCCTTCTCTATTTCGGTTGAATGACACCAGCAGGGTGTATATCGGCACGTGCAACCCGCGGTGACTGCGGCAAAAGAGGCTCACTTAAAGGCAGTTGGCACGATAAATCGCTATACAGATGTAGGATTTATACGACTGGCTTAACAGAATTCCGTGACCTCGGACAGGCGCTCCGTGGCGCCTTTTCCAAGGAGGGTACCCCTATAACGCCCTATCGAGCAACAACATTCCGTCCCAAACGCCTTCCTCGCCCGCCCGCCCACAAACGGACGACCGTTCCTGACGCTCGTATTCATTCATTTGCTGAGCAAATTATGAAGCAAAGGGATTGGTATGAAGCGGCCGTGATGCTGCATGCATATATGGGTACACATATGCAGCCGTATCTTCGTGATTGGCAAGATGCGTACGGGAAACTCGTCTTTGCCATTTCCCCTATACAGCGCCCCACTAGCATTTTAGGCCGAGTGGGAGACCATCGTGCCAACTGCCTTTAAAGTGGCAATACAGTAGTGCGCCAGGTCACCTGGCTGAAAAATACTCTGCGGGTATGGCGCGTCCTCATATATTATGAACTACACTCAGGGTCTCATTACGCCTCGCACTGCATTTCTGCATACCACACTTCTGTGCGGGTAATTCATTAGAAACGTTCCACACGCTCGTTGCGTTGACGGAACCGAACCTACCATTATGACGACTTCTTCATTGATGTGCCCCACCAAGACGGCATATAGAAGAGAGATAATGCCGTGGGCATAATGACTGGTTCAGCTTAGCCCATAAGAAAGCAAGCGCTATCTCTTCGAGTTCAAATTAACGAACGTAAGATCGTAAAAGCCTCCAGTTATTAAATTTAGCCTGTTCTGATGGCACAGGAAACTTTATACAATGGTAAGCTTACTAATGTGAATGGTGCAGTCTTTGAACTTCTCGGAGTGGAAATAAGTGAAAAGATTCTTCAAAACCAGAGATTGGAAGTAAAGTGGGAAGCGACGAGAAATTCCATCAAGCAATCATATTTTCAGGTTTTTCAATACAAAAAATGACACATCTATCTGCTTTGATCGGATGAGTAAATCTTACTGTAGCAGATTCCATTCAAACCTCGGTACCTGGAGCACAAAACGGTAAGAGGTGATTTATACAGTATGGTTCCCGAGATAGACACTGATCTTTTATTACGCTAACGTTTTGGCGTGAATCGCCCTCTTTCGAGCTCACCAAGACGAAGCATGTAAGAAGCAACTAACCCAATAACTATTCAAAACACTATAAGAAAGCAGGGTAGGGATCGTAGAACGAAGTCGTAGAACCACTAACCCTCGACCGATGTAAACTCTACCGGGCACTCTCAGCCTAAAGACAGTACGGTCCTATTGATCTGTGTTGAAACTGAAGGCTTGAGGGGACTACGCGAAGGTCGGATCATTCGCTGTAATTAAGCGACGAACCTTAGAGGACAGCCCGCGCGCAGCGAGGAGCGAACGACAGCCGCTGTAAGTTTTAAGTTCTAACGCCTACTCAGTTGGAAAGACCGCCTTACGTGCTAGATGTCCTCCGACGAGCCACTCAGTTGTTCTTAGTTGGGGCGGCGGGCATTGCTAATGCCCATGGATAATTCTGCTCCCCTTTATTACAGTTTACTCATTGGAGGTATATACATTCAATTCAACTCATTTCGCGAGGTGAAACGCGTAAAAAGCACGAGTGACGCAATTTTCGTGATGCAAAACCTCGACGCACAAAACGTGCGCTACCGTAATCCCAAATTCAGACACCGCGTTGATAAAATCCCTTTTTCCTTCCAAGAGTTTTTTCCTCTGCGTTTTTGTTGTTTTCTTTTTGTATTCTTTTTTGCACTGGATGATATCAACAGATGTGATAGAGAGATTTGTGAGCTAGGGGTTGCACAGAGACCGCAGGGAGGTGTGACTGTGAGGGAGCGATTTTGTTTATGTTGTTCTGGAGGACGCTTCTTGCCTGTTTTCTTCTTTGGGAGATTACTTATCAGCTACTGTTTCATAATTGGAAAGCAGCTATCCATGAGACTTTTATCGCGGGAGCTGTCTTTAACGGACAAATGTGAAATACTTAGGGCCGGTTTTACGTCTATAATGCAGACAACCATGGGGTGAGAGGCGGCTTGCACAGTGAGCTAAGTTTCGTTAGTGCTAGATAGTTGTCTTCGGTAGGAGTAGGAAACGTTTTCACGTTGCGGGGCAGATTTCTCACTTATGGAGGTCTACCGTGTTCAAGAGGATAACCGGGTTTGCGGGTTAAAGGTTAGGGTAAACTGCGGGTTAAAGGTTAGGTTAATAAAAGAGTAACGTAATAAGAGAGCTCGCTTGGTGCAACACCCCGCGGAATACCATTGCCGAAAGCTAGTCTCTAGCGTATGAAGAGTCTATGTTGTTCTCTGGTAAATAGGAACGTTCTTACAGTAGTCTGTAATGAATAAAATCATTACAGACTACTGGAAAATCAGAATTGCACTGAATGCTATTTTCAGTAACAAAGGTTTTTTCCCTGTCAAAAGGTGTACATCTTCGCCATACCGCTATGATTAGTTGTCCTGACGATTTATATCTATATAACTGGATCCTTTCTTTCAGATGGTCCTGTAACTCAGAGCATTTCCGACTCGCATTTCGAGTATGTCGAGAGAGTTGTGGCTTCTGCACGATGGACTGGCGCAACTCACCATCGCCTATGAAATGTATTTGATGTGGAGATTTCAAATAAAAAGAAAAAACTTGAACATAACTTAATAATCCTCCTGACATAAAGCCACCCTTTATTTATTTGGTGATCTTATGTACGCATGAATCATTGAAGGTTCTAAAGCCTTCCTGTACAGGGACAGCATTGTTATGATGCTATAGTGGTCCATTATAGTTATCGTCATAGTGGTGTCAGTACGACCCGCCCTGGAATCTCGTTGTCCCGTACTACCCCCACCACGACCTATATGCCATCATACCGAATTTTCCTTATGTTCTGGCTTTGAGAGGGAAAGAGCATATAGTGCGCTTAAAGGGAAAAACAACCGGAATATTCTCCTCACGGTTCGAAAAAACCCTCCTAAGGCCAGATACGACCCAACACCAGCTTTCAATTATGCTTTGCCCTTTTCCTGTATCAGCCGTGTGAGCCATGGAGGGAACCAACCATCGGTCTTTGTAGTAGCGTTTCAGCTTCTCCTCCTTCTCTTCCACTTGTAGGGGATGTTAAGGAGAGGAGGTCCACTGGAGTAGGCCAAGTGGACTTCGTTCAGATCGGAGAGGTCATTGAAATGCATCGCCACCCCACACATGAAATATCATATCCAGCCAATTCATGGTTTTATCCTGCCGAACAAGTAGGGAATCCTCCCTCGGACTTAGGTGTGAAAAAAGCCCTGGACGACCAAATGAGTCCTGATCTAAGGATCATTCGCGCTACGAGTTTCTCTTTTCAGTACTATGGTGTGCACTTTTCTCCGAATTTTTTGAAAGGTCTAGCGGATGAAAAAACGCGAAGATAATGTGCAAGAATTTCTTCATTGTGCGAAGTTTTCAGCTGACTTGTAACTCCCCATAGTTTAACACTATATCACGAGGAGGAGTTACAGCGAGTCACCTTGAAAAAAACTGAGGTAAACCTATCAGATTAACGTCTGTAATCTAAAGATGTGGAGCGGTGTTTCAGAACAGAAGAAGATTTTAAGCTATACATATCTGTTATACCAACATGAGAAAGGTGGAAGAGGAGGGGAACTTGGACGAGAACGGAGCATGGTGGGGGAGTGGGTGTTTGGAGGGGGGGGAGAAGTTGGGAGGGGTTAGCCATCACATGGTGAGCACACTGTCACTGAAGTACCGCGTCACTTCCAATTGCCTTCCGCCAACTTTCCTTGCGAGGCCGCGTTAATCTTGGTCACACCCATCCAGACTCGACAGAGACCAATCACGGCCGTGGCCCTAAGACCAGTTTAGAGCGAAACGAGAAGAAGGACCAAGAACTCGAGGAGTGATGTTCACAATTCTGTACCTATGCTGCTAGACTTGAGCTGCATCAATCGCCATCGCAAGTGCCGTGCCGTCATCTCTCGCGGGATCCCCTACACCGGCTACATGAGAGCGTCCATGCTACGCGATTCGATCACTCGCATCGCGCGATACACACGCTCGAACGATCCGATCGCGTGTTCTAAGCGATCGACTCGCGAAGCATGGACGCGCTAAGCTACAACAGTGTACCACTTATGGTGTTCCGATCAGGGCTTTCGATAGGTGCGCACTCACCATCTAGTTACTACAGTCGTTTAGAGTCGCACTAAAGCTTGTTCGTTTTGTGGATCACTTCATTTCGAAGACAAACTGCCACACGTCTGCCTCCAATGACGGTCTTTGCAATGTGCAGGTTGAATGGGTCAGCAGTTGCAGTAGATTGCCACTTACTCTTCTCAAAGTACACGGGATGGAGGCTGTTGGGTAGTAGGCACTTCATACTTCGCCCCGCTTTCCTCAGAAATCGTGTTGAAGTCAAGGTCACGCAACGAAACACGTACTCAGCAGCAGAGAACAAGCCAGAAGTGGAGGGCGCAACGAGCAGTTTGGCAGTGGCTAGGCCACTGCCAAGCTGCTCGTTCCTCCCTCGTAGTCATTGCGGCAGCGCGAGGTAGAGTGTGGAGTCGTCACCGAAGCATCACTCCCCTCCAGTCCCGCTCCCGTGCATTTTTGAGTGGAGACAGTGCACATGGGAACGACTGTCCTCGGACGGAATTGTTCAATTTGTCTCTAAGGTAATAGACAATTTGAACAATTAACAAATCTAAGGTAAGTGATAGTGCTGAACTGAAAAAGGTTTTTCAAGGCTTAAACCTGCACCTTCAGCACCTTCAAACTTTCAAAATGGGGAGGACCCGTCATTATGAAGCAACTGATTCCTAATTACTTCCTCATTACTGAATCCCTCTTAAATTCCTCATTCGCTCATTACTCAATCCCTCTTAAATTCCTCATTCACATTCACAGCAGATCGTCAATAGACACTGTGCGCGACAACCCCATAGAAGCTGGCAGACCTCACAACGAGCCAACGAAAAACTTGTAGTTAGCGTGGTTGGGAAACAGATATGCGCTAATTGACCCGCTGGGAAGGAAACCGACGAGAAAGCGTCTCAGGGCACTTGTCAACCGAGAAGCCTCTCCTCTCTTTCCTTTTTCTTCCTCCTTCCTTCTTTTCCTTCCTTCCTTCTCTGATCCCTCCTCCTTTACCTTCTCCCTTCAACTACTGGACTGGTAGATGCCTCGTGAAAATAACCCTGGACCCTCGCAGCGAGAGCACGTCTGGTTGACAAGAGCCCCGTAACCGATGAGAAAGCTTCACGTAATGCCTCACTAGGCCCATGCGAAAGACAACCGCGTAATGCTGGTTGTCTTTCACGTGGACTAGTGGGCCTTACTTGTTGCACGGGACGAGTGTAGCGAGAGAGAGAGAGAGAGGAGGACAGAGAAAACAGCGAAAGATTCATGCAAACGATAGAGAAAGTAAGATAATACTCTATCAACTTAGGCGGAGCCCCCCCTCCATGCAAAGAGTTTAGCTATTATAAGTGATCGTGGGTTGTCCCTTTAACCCTGACCGAGTGCACTAACCTAATGCACGATTGTGGAACCTCGCCTATGATCCCGTCGGGTCCTTCTGTTGCGAAAAATTTTGCAAAATACGAACGCCGTCGCGATTCCCTTCTCTGTACGACCCCTCTTCCCCATCCCTTACCATTTTCTCAAGCGACCTATTCAAGTCTCCTGGTTCCGCCCAAAACACCACCGCCGAGCGGTAACCACTAAAAGTGGACAACTGAAGCATGTTCCACAAAAACAAGCACGACTACCCCCCAGGTATTCCCAACCAACAACGTGCCCGGGGTAGATCTTTTCTGGTAATTCTATATAATTTTTTGACGTACCGCTGTTTCACATCGCGCAAGCGTTCTTCATATGCAGTGCGTGTTATGTTTCACTAGGCTACAAGAGATGTCAACCTGCCACAGAGCCAAAACGTAATAATATTTATCATAAAGAAATATACAAATTGTGCAAAACATTATTGGCAAAATGTGAAAAAATACTATGTTTATATGTATTGCATTAAGATTGCTAATTCGTACTCGTTAGTGAGAAAAACGAGGACTTCATAAGAATCTAGTCAAAATGGGCAAACAAATGGAGCATTTCCCCTAGAGTAGTCAAGTCGAATAATTATGAATTATAAATATAAATATTATTTAACAGCTCAACAGTATCACATTCAATCGCCGGAAGACACTCGTGAATACTCGATTTCCAAGAAAAAACATTCGTAAGCACTTACTACATGATATATACAGGCAATTCACATAGCACAGGCTGAAAGAGGAAATCCTTCACAGATTATGGACATACGGCAAGTGATTTGACGAAGGAACATGTGAATAGACTTTAGAGGAAATTTCACAATGGCCTCAAATGGGACTATCACTTTAACGCGAACTCGAAACGCTCTATTAGCCACTCCTTTACATCGGTGGAGGTTGAGAGTGCAGCGGTGGCGGACTGAACATGCCCTCCGTGAGGTAACCAGCAACACCAGTAGATGTTCCTAAAAACAGTAAGCATCCAGTGACTGTAGCAACTATGCTTCACATGAACACCAAACAAGAGAGGAAACCACTTTATTTATAGACTTTTTCGTGTGTTCATCGAGTTTCTATGGTGGAACCTTTCAAAGTAACGGCCCATGATCACCTATAAGTATCTAGTATAGCTCTTCAAGGTAAAAATAGTAATATAGGGATAAATAGCGAACAACACTGCACAAGTTGCACGCTAGAAAATTTCAAGTTTTCAAGATAGCGGCGGTAAGGCACAAGGTTGTACAAGTGATCCCGCCAGCAGGTCAGTGACTCCGCCCACGCTGAAAGATTTTTCATCGGTCGTCTGACTCGTTTGCATTATCCCTCTCGTCGCTCTTCTCTGGCTTCTCGAAAAAACACATCGATTTTTTTTGTCTCTTGCTCAGCACAGGGAAAGCCTAATTCGAGCGTTTTCAATTCTTTTGCTTTTTTTTATTCACGAGCGAGTCAGTTGGCACGTGCACTTCTACGTCTAACCCCGATATCAACGAAATTCCCTCTGGTTCATCGCGAGTTCTGCCTTTAACGATGCTCGGATTCGGTGCTCGGCCCAAAATGCTAGGCTAGTAGGGCGCTATATAGTGGGGAAATGGCGAAAGAACGGAGTGAAACGGTCAAAATCCTGCGAAGAAAAAGCCTCCGTTTAACTTGAAAATCAATTTTGGACGAGTTTACAGTGTCTGCCAATAATCGCTACCGAAGATACGGTATGTTGTGGCTTGATAGGGCCCTTATAAGGGCACCTTCCTTGGAAAAGGTGCTATGCAGCGCCTGCTCAGGGTCGCGGAATTCCTCCTGCCAGGCGTATTAATCCTACTCGTCTTGGGGGATTTATCGTGCCAACTGCCTTTACGGAAACGTTGAGAGTAGATAGGTTGCGAGTAGAGGTTCGTGCCAGGATCACCGTCCTTTTGAGAAAAGTTCTAATGACACCACCAATTCACCAATCCCGGTAATGTGCACTGGTCCCTTATTACAAGCGCGGAGTGTAGAGTGTGAGGTTCTATCCATACTGCGAGAGACGCTGCCAGCATAGGCTGATCACAAATGGAAAGAGTGTTCAGTTCACGCAGGGGAAGCAGAAATGTTTACGTAACACCGCAGCTTGGTACTTATCTACCCATCTTCATTTCCTGCTGTGAGCACTTCCCATTTTTGGGACAGCTGACACTACTTTCCTATGCCAAACTAGTACCCCACTTACTGGGGTACAAGGCGCACCCGGGTATAGGGCGCAACTTCGCCTCTAACACCACGAAATTTTTCTCTAGGCTTACTTGTGCGTATCATTTGTTTGTTTTCATTTATGTGAGGGATCTATTCCGAACAATAAGTGCACTAAAGGCAATCAAAAGACTAGAGCACATAAAGACTAAAATAGTTGTTACTGTCTTCAGAATCGTTCCCAGCATCGTGAGCATGCAAATAAAAGCGCCGCATACACATAAATTAGGAGAGACAACTAAACCAAAGCAAAGTCGGTAGGGAAAAGAAAAGCTGGAAAACCTAACAAACTTAATACCCTTTCGGTAAACGAACATGACACAGAGACAGCAACCTCACCCCGAATTACTTCCAAACATCTTGAAAATGTCGGAAAACGTCCCTTTCCTGTCTGAAACTTCGCACTAAATTGACAATCCGACTTCGATGAGACTGTCAAACACTCCAGTGTCGCAGTAAGAAAAGCCAGTCTTGCCAGTTGCTCGCAACGCGAAGATATTTCACATTTTGTATAACAGTTCCCATGTCCTTTATGAAATGAAGCTTTTGGCGAAAGTTTTTTTAATTGAGCAATTTGAGGTGGGAGGTTCACAGAAGTGGTTTGGCTTCCGTTTCGCAAGTAGTCCAGTGTGGGCAATGTGAGCTGAACAAATCGTGATATACTTCCACTGTGGTCATCAGACAGAAAAAAGGCACGGTGAGTAAAAAAATTGATGAGTGGTAATTTAATTTATCTGATCTGATATCCGTATTCCTTTGTTGATTGGATTCCAATGGTTTGGCCCACAAGTAATGGCATTATTTCACCAAGTCAAAACTTTGTGGCAAAAGGAGAAGCATGTTTGGGCAGAAAAATCACATTACTATCTAGAAAACCTCATTCGCTTGCAAGTAGCAGTGTTCGGTTCAGTGCTGGTTGAATCGTTGGGACATTCTACTGCCATGGATAATGGAGAGCAATAGTTTGAGAAAATTGGAGCTTCCGCAGTAACTTTTCTTTCAGAGACAGCGCCGGCGAACAAAGACAGACCCTGCGCTTAAGGGATTCGTGATCGCCCTTCCATGAGGAGTCGCCAGCCCGAGACTTTAGAGACTCGTTTCCACGGTCGCGACTCCACAGCGAGTGAGGAGGGTGTTACGGCCGCCGAAGTTCCAGTTCTTACACCCGCTCACTTTGACCGCCCACCCAACGAACTTCCTCTTGACACCTAACGCCGGGACGCTCAGTTGTTGTTTCTTGGGGCGCGGGGCATAAAGATCGGAATGAGCATGCCCCATTTTGCCTTGCATGGCCGGTTACTCTCTTCTAAGGACAATACGGGCTCGGCGCTGTTCGGCGACGGTGGCGGAAGAGGGGGGGAGAATGGGAGGGACATTGTGCACTTTCGATACTTCCCATCGACGTGTCGACCTATCTAGACAGCCTCCTCCCGAGTTCGCAGCTTTACCAGAGTGAGACTAGTCGGAACTAGTGAAGCAACGAAAGTGCAAAATGCCCCCCCCCCCATCGCCGAACTGCGCCCATACAGTCAACAGCAATCCATCAAGGTAAGACAAATTCAATTCCCCAGTGATGCAGTTGGTCTTTGGCACTGAACAATTTTGAAAGCACTTAAACTCTATTTCAATAACCATCTGAAGCTAGCAAACCGGAACCATAAGTTTCGAACTAACCGGTAATTGCTTGAGTTCGTGCAGCAGGCAAAAACAAATCGTGGCGCTGATCCCGATACTGAGCCCAAACTGGTGAGCGATTCAGAATCTCTGAGATCTTCTCGCCAACTTGTAGATCCAGGCATGCACTTTTGAGAGCATCGACAATTTCCGCTCGGGCCGCAGGAGAATTCGAAACACCTGAAAACAAAAGAAATTATGTGAACTTACATGATTGGAAGATTTACGAAAATTTAAAGAGAAGAAGAAGAAATGTAATAAAAGCGAACGGAAGAGAAATGGAATGCCCTCAAAAGAATTGCGAAGAATTCCCACGATTTGCTTTTTAGCAGGCAGGTATTCGCGATGCGACACTAAGCCGAGGTCCTTCCCGCTGCAGTGCTTGATGCTCCATATGATTCACCAACTTTTGTAAGTAAAGGCACACGAGATTCTGCATTTGGAGGGGATGTCATTGACAGCACAGCTCACGCTGACCATACAGACTGAAGTACGGGCAGGGTAACAGCATCGTGATGTGTGAAATGGTGGTGTCAGTACGACCCCCCTCTCGAAGGAGGGTCCGGTACAACCCCCCCCCTTCCTCAACCGCAACACCTACCTACTAATTTCCCACATTTTCCAGTTTTTCACCCGGAAAATTACCGTCGAGCGGGGAATTCCGTCGCAAAAACATCAAGCGATTCGCAAATCGCGGCAGCTGCCATCGACCGCTTCTGAAAGGCCACTTGTTGAATCGCACCAACAGTTTGAACGAAGCCCTATTCAGAAAATAATATCACTAGCAAAAGCAGCGGACCAACGATCACTGGCGATTTATCGGGTGGTCAAGCACGACACATTATTGATGAGCCACTCCTCTCACAGAGAAGGGGCAGCAAGGTGCACGAAGGGTCTGCCTCCGCCTAGATGATAATCGTGAACTGTAAATCAGATCACAGAGTCTAGAACAGGCTCCTCTCTATTGAAGCAAATATACGAGCCCTACATACCTGGTGGCAGGTCACCTTTTAAGCACTTCAAGGAGATAGTCGACCATCTTCGTCGAAAGCATCTGAGCCGCCAGATCGCCAGTATTCTTTCGCATGAGGCACTTCAGCGCATGCGCAGATTCATGCATCAGTGCTGAAGAACAAAATAAAAAAACCCTTAGTCATACTGATAATTCCCAGAGCAAAGAGGACCAACACCTACTTGGTTGATTCTTCATGGACGTCATGATCCCTTCTATACAATTGATCCGGGAAAGAGCCTCAGCACAATACTGGAACGTAAATGAGATTAAGACTTACAACAAAGCACTTGGTACAACTCTTAACATACATGATTCTCAGCAAGTTGTTGAAGAATCAAAATGGCTGAACGAGACGTTTGAGGATCTCGAGCCGACATCGCCTTACTGAATTGAGGTAGATATCCTTGCGCCGGCAACTGAAAATATATAAAGTGTGCAAGACCTTTCAAAAGAAAACTCATGCCTATACAGCTCCTCAACCACTGTGGATTTCAAATAAATCCAGCTATTCAATCCCTGAACTCTATTTCTGATATTCTACTTTGCGACCAATCGCCTGGTCGTACACATCTAGGAGCTACTCCTTTTGAGAAAAACACCGAAGCCAATATCCACCACTGTACCCTTGGTAGGATGGCGTATACCGGGAGAAGCTGAAGAAATCCGTAATGCATTTTCAGATTGCCTAGAAACGCCAGAAGAATTCATGAAAGTGAGTAGCGAGTTGGCCTATTATATAAAGGATATCCTCGCACGGGGGCGGAGCATGTGCCGAGACGGGTGAAGGAGCCGAGGGAGCACAGGTACTTGCATTCTCGGCAGTACGCCATCTCGTTCTTGTATTTCTCCTAGCCTTTCCAAGATTGAGCAACTTTATTAAAGGCCTACGTTTCGGCGTCTTCGCCTTCGTCAGAGCCTGAAATGGTCAAAAAACATTTCGAGACCTGCTCGCTCAAACATTTCAACAATACTCAAGACGATTTCCACATACCAGTAAATCACCCAACGGTATCGATCTAGGGCGGAACGCTGGCTTACCTTGATCTCAGCAGGTCCCGACCTACCGAGAAGTCGAGGGAGGTCACCAGTAATTCTTACTCCACGCCTGACCCTCTACATGGTGGTTGTCCCTGCGTCACGCGTCCAAGATCAAGGTAAGCCAGCGTTCCGCCCTAGATCGATATCCGGTTGTGTGTTTTTACTGGTATGTTGGAAATCGTCTTGAGTATTGTTGAAATGTTTGAGCGAGCAGGTCTCGAAATGTTTTTTGACCATTTCAGGCTCTGACGAAGGCGAAGACGCCGAAACGTAGGCCTTCAATAAAGTTGCTCAATCTTGGAAAGGCTAGAAGAAATACAAGAACTATATACATCATGCCAAGATTGCAAGAAAGTCGAACATGGACACGAGTACGCATTCGCCAAGCTATTAGTGGCAGTGTGCAACGTAGCGCTATCCTCTGACCTATAAATGATGTAGTAGCTGACTTCAGCTAACAGTTGTCAATGGTTTGTCATTGAATGCCTAACAAATAGTCCAAGCGTGGCGCCACCCTACTCCATTGTGAAGGTCTGGACGAACAAAAACCAAAATTGATGTGAAACAGGTGCGTGACAAGCCTTTCGGTCGGGTTCATCCCGCCATCAAAGGTGCACTCTGCACGCGGTGATTATACACGAAGGGCAGTGGGTGCCACTGCTGGAGGGCGTTGTTTTGCCAGCGTGCCATTGGTGGAAGGGACTGGCCAGCTAGAGTATTTGGCCACATGCGCGGCCCCACACCCGGCCTTCTGCCAAAGACGTTGGCGCCAACCGCCCGCCTCCACCAATCGTGCCCATTGCCTTGAGGGATCTCGTTTCGTGGAAGTTTTGACCTTTTTTTGGATAGACATTTAAAAAGATTATTGCCCCACTAGCATTCTTGAACATGCTATGGTTTACAAGTGCAGGAGTAAAACGACACTAGAAATCAGCGTGACTGATTTTGATATTCCCAGACGGCGCATAGCCTCGTACGCAGTGAGGCTGACCTGAACTATCGGGAGACAAGCATGAATCCCAAGCGAAACAGCTCAATGTATTTTTCTTTTAACCCTTTCTTCCTTATTGCTGCTATGGGACCATTCTTGATAGTTCACCGTCAACTTTCCGTCCTGGAATTCTCAGTCACTCTGAAAGGTGGAAATGATCTCATTCTTACCACAATCTTCTGGACCTGCACCTCCAATTCCGGATAGGGATATTCGCAGATTTCATTTTTACAGCTTGTTATGGGACAAGTATAATCATTGAATGAAAGTATCTTGACTACGTATAATATCAACTGCTTCCAATTCCCACTTGCCTTATCAAAAACCTACTTATAAGTTACCTGATCAGCTGTATTCGGGAAATTCCGTAACAATTCAATAAAAGCGGTCGTCACCAGTGTTAGATCTGGGCTTGGCCTATTCATCAGCTCCAGAACTCTGCAACGAGAGTGGAATAAAGTCAATAGTACTAGAACCCTCTACACAACTCACTTCTCAATGAGTTCGGTAGCAAACTGTCGTGGATGACGTACAGCCCAAGCTGGATTTGCGACGTATAGTCGCACGAAAACACCCCCAACGACCAACTCGCCCGTCACCGAATCGGCATATGCACAAGTGTCATCGGTTAGCGATCCCTAAGAAAGCACAAATGCGAACGAGAGCAGCACGTAAAAGGGTGTAACTACTTACAGTGTCCCATTTGTGCTCAGGGTTTTTAGACTGAGCTCGGTACAAGTCGTCCACTCCTCGCTCAATAATCTGTCGCACTTTCACGCGCGTCTGATCATTCCAAATCAGCTCTGGGTTTTCATTGGTCGAGTCAAACATCGTTATCCTGAAATCATCAACCAGTGTATTCTTTTTCTCTTGATCTTCTTAGCTATAAACAAGAATTGACTTAAAAGCCTGCCTTAAAGGCAGTGGGCACGATAGCTGGGGCGGGCGCTTACTGCCAACGTCACTGGTGGAAGGCTGAGTGGAGTGAAGCCAAACGGAGCTCCACCAATGACGTTGACCGTAACCATCCGCCCCCAGCCATCGTGCTCACTGCAGCACCCGATTACCGTGGGTATCAGCAAGAGCAAGCAACTAAATCGGGCGCCAACCTTTCCCATTCTGTTCCGCTCCATTCGGATACATGTTGTCTCGCAGTGTCTCCGCGCCTCGTTTGCTTTGGATTACCCTATCCATAGGTGTAGATCATGCCATATAGCGCTACTTTGAAGTCGTGGCGAGCGCGACAAAAAAATGTTGCAGGCAAGGTGATGTGTGCAGCACTCATACTAAAATCCAGTCCACTCAATGTGGCGAGACACGGACAAGACTATCGTAATTAGTCGCGCCGTCGCGCGCGGCGTATCGAGCGGCTATGCGTGGCAAGTTCTGAATGTGTGTCAGTTTTGGAGCAACAAAACTAAAATAAGTTAAGCAAGGCAAAGGTCCGTGACAGGCGATATCGCTTCTCCCCATGCCTTTCACACTCATTTTAAAGACAGCCCCCGCGCTCGAGTAGTACATGGTCGTCCTTCCTTGTGCAAGTAGTACAGCCCCCAAGCTAGAGACTGTCCCACTCTCGCGACTCCACAGCGAGCGAGGAGCGAGCTACAGCTGCTGAAAGTTCTAGTTCTAACGCCCGCCCAGTTGGACCGCCCACTTGCTAGATGCCCTCTGACGGAGAGCCGCTCAGTTGTTCTTTGTTGGGGCGGCGGACATTCTCTGAGGGGACGCCCGCTCTCCGTTTGTTCTTTGTTGGTGGCTGCAGCACAGCCAGAGCTTGCATGGCCCTTTTGCGTGTCATGAATGTTCTGCACTCCTTTATTACAGTTTATTTAGTAGGCGAGGCACATCAATCACTCCAACCATCTTGCAAGGTAAAACGCGTAAAGTCACGAGCGACTTACAGTCGTCATCCTCGCGCCTGATAGGAACAATCGGAGGACGCGGACGCGGGTGAATGAGCGACCGCGTCAGGAGTAGCAAACTGTCGGCGGCGCGGGGCCAGCTACTATGCGTCCTCTCACTCCCTACGCGCTCGACACGCGCCGCATAGTACTCTGCCGCCTGCCCATGCGGCTGTGCGTCGGCGATTCAGCTGAATTATCGACTCGACGAGCCATTTTCTTCAAAATCGTCTTATTTCGGCCGGTTTTCGGAAAGGTAAGTTACTTTTCTTTCTTTACTTGATAAATTGTATTAGTATCTTGCTTTTTTTGTTGATTTGGTGTAGTTTTTGCTGTTTTAAATGCTTTTTTCACTATTGTTTTTATGTTTTCAGGTTTCGTCTGTTTTTTCCCCATTTCGTCCCCCCTGTTTGGCTTCTTTTCATTACTGTGTCACGGATGTGTTCCTGTCTTTGCTGAGAACACTCTCTGACACGGTTTTGAAGACTAGAGCCGCTTTTACACCCGTGTTCTTCAAGCTGCCCGTAAAATTGCCGGCTGGTGAGTATTTCAATTTATTTTTTGTTTATTCTTTTTTTTTGTATGATGTATTCTTCATTACTATACCATTGTTGTGTTCTGTGCTACGCGAAGAACACACTTTGGCATGGGGGGGGGGGGATTTTTGGAGCTTGTGTTTTTTAAAAATGAGCTTTTTTTCATGAGTTGTGCTAGTGCCCGTTATTTAAGGCGGTCGGTGAGTGTTTCGCTCACGGAGGCAATAGACGTGGTATACAAATCAGAAGTGAGTCGCCACACGTTGTGCCTCGGTAGCATAGTGGGTAGTGTTACAGAATATAGTATACGAGGTCAAAGGTTCGAATCCTTGGTGGGCGTGCTCTTTTGCATTTTGAAGGCGAGAATGGCTCAGTTAAGAAAAGCCCTCTTCATAGCATTTTCTGATAATGCTAGGCTGTGTTGAACCTTTCAGAGAGCACTGCTGAAAAAATGCAAAAGAGCACGTCCACCAAGGATTCGAACCTTTGACCTCGTATACTATATTCTGTAACACTACCCACTATGCTACCGAGGCACAACGTGTGGCGACTCACTTCTGATTTGTATACCACGTCTATTGCCCTCCGTGAGCGAAACACTCACCGACCGCCTTAAATAACGGGCACTAGCACAACTCATGAAAAAAAGCTCATTTTTAAAAAACACAAGCTCCAAAACCATGCCAAAGTGTGTTCTTCGCGTAGCACAGAACACAACAATGGTATAGTAATGAAGAATACATCATACAAAAAAAGAATAAACAAAAAATAAATTGAAATACTCACCAGCCGGCAATTTTACGGGCAGCTTGAAGAACACGGGTGTAAAATGTGTAAAAGCGGCTCTAGTCTTCAAAACCGTGTCAGAGAGTGTTCTCAGCAAAGACAGGAACACATCAGTGACACAGTAATGAAAAAGAAGCCAAATAGGGGGAAGAAATGGGGAAAAAACAGACGAAACATGAAAATGCAAAAACAATAGCGAAAAAAGCATTTAAAACAACAAAAATTACACCAAACCAACAAAAAAAGCAAGACACTAATACAATTTATCAAGAAAAGAAAAAAAGTAACACACCTTCTCGAAAGCCGGCCGAAATAAGACGATTTTTGGAGAAAAATCGGCTTCGTCGAGTCGATAATCAGCTGATCGCCGCGCCAGCCGTCAATGGGCAGGCGGCAGAGTACTATGCGGCGCGTGTCGAGCGCGTAGGGAGTGAGAGGACGCATAGTAGCTGGCCCCGCGCCGCCGACAGTTTGCTACTCCTGACGCGGTCGCTGATTCACCCGCGTCCGCGTCCTCCGATTGTTCCTATCAGGCGCGCGGGCAGATTGACTACTGTTAACTACACTAAAACATGCTCACGGGCTTTACCGTAACTCCAAAATCCAGAGCCCTGGTTTTTGAAAGTTTCTTTCCCTTTTGAAAGTTTTCCTTCCGTGTTTTGTTGTTTTTCGTATTATTTTCATTGCATTGGATGATACCCACTACTGGGAGATGTGATAAAGGAAATTTGTGAGCCAGGGGTTGCACAGAGACCGCAGGAAGGTGTGACTGCCAGGGAGCAATTTTGTTTGTAGTGTTTTTGAGGACTCTTACTGCTTTTTTTTCTTCTTTGCAGGCAAAATTATTTATCAGGACCGGTTTCATAATTGCAAAGCAACAATCCATGACACTTTTATCGCGGAGCGGACGGTGTCTCAAAGCCAGCCAGAAAAACTCACATCGCGCGCGCGCGACGTCGCGCTCGCCACTTCCAACATATTACGATTGTCTTGGTCACATACCCATTGTTCCAGCGCTGTCACTCTCTGAGTGTGCCTCGCACGTGTCAGCCAGAAAAGCATACAGATTGCTGCGACTCAAAAGGGACCCTATAACACCTAACCCATTGCGTACCGCGTGCTGCACATGGTGAAGCACTCTTAGTGTGAACTCATTTAGCATTGTTAGATGACTGGAAAGAGTAGGTATATTCCTGAAGTCGTCAGGGACAAAATATGTGTGGGGGAAATTGCGAGATTGAATAATAGCTATGTTGCTAGCATTTTTCGAGTAATACCTCAACTATTACATTTTTTAATTAACTCTCCTTTACCAATAAAACCGAAATCCTGCTTAGTATACGACTGAAAAATTGTAAAATGGTGTGAGTGAACAGCTTCTAAGCACACTGCGTCACTTTTTCAACTCCTCTTAATTTTATCAAGCTTTTTTGGCTAGTTTCGCATTTTTCGGCTTTACACTTTTATCACGTAACAATATTGAATCCCCTTTAGCATACGTATACTTATAAAAGTGATGCATAATACGATGTGTGTGCAATATTTTTATGTTATATGTATAAGATAAAAATCTTATGTTTTTATACTCAGCGCGCCAGAAATCGCGTCGCGCAAATACACTGCGGTACGCAATGGGTTAACTTTCATGTCTACGTTGCGACAGCGCGCACGAACTTGTTACCATTTCTTAGCCACTTGATTCAACATGCTAGAGAACCTCTAATCAAATAGGTCCTAAGGTAAATGCCGCGCACGTAACGGCACTTGCACTGGCGCCTCCGCCTCACCACGGATGTAACGTCTTAACCTCCCCATCACGATTCATTCTCACACTCGATTATGCGGAGACGCAATGCTTCCTGCTCATCTATTCAAGACCGATGCCGCAAAAGTTGGCAATATTTTGCATATTCTTGAGCTTAACAATAATGAAAGGAGGCGTTACTATGCAATCCATTGAAACGAAACTCACGCTGTGTTAGGGGAATCTCGTAACGCATCTGCAAAAATGGGTGGCAGGTACTTGGTGATGAACCGTGTCCAACGAGGTCCAGTCAACTTATCTGACTGAAATCACAACATCATACTGGGATTCCACAACACTGCATAAATCCGAACAAAAGGTGTGAGGACGAACTTTGCTTTCCAGTAAGAGATGTTCTTGGAATCAACTAATAAAATTTTGGCGTTGACTACCATCCATCTTTACATTGTATCTTTGACTTAAAAGCAAAACTGAGTGCTCTACTTCCAATTCATAGCCCATATACCACCGCTGGAGGGAGAATGTGGCTAACCACAAGCTCACATGAACTGTCAACGGTCTTGGGCACAATTCGGCAAACTGGGTGAGGGGAAGACGCAGGGGGGTGTTTCGGCACTTTTTTTTCCCCGCCTTGCGTCAACGGCTTCCGGTTTACAAGTTTTGCCATAGTTCAGCCCTAGTGAACACTTTGTGAAACTGGCAGCGGTTCGTCGAGCCGTGAGGTTAGCTTACTGCGTCATTTGTATTGTTTTCAGCTGCATACGAGTAACAGAACTGTTCTTTACAAAGCTTAACAGGGGGGTCTCTACAAACTTTGACTCGTATCATTTCATGGCTTCACACGATTTCGCAGGTCTCCTTGCTCGAAACGTCATGGGAAGTAGAAGATGTGCAAAATGCCCCCCCCCCCCCTTCGCCGACTTGTGCTCGTCTGCGCTTGAGCTGGTAACTATCTACCGTCGCTTTGCTCAGAACCAAGGCCTCCTTTACCGGAAACTGGACTGTATTGACTCAGGGCTATGCAGTTTGTTTAACGGAATTCATGATCACGATGACAACGACGACCAGTAAACTTACCTGAAGTTTTGTTAACAATTCAGCAGCCAGCAACCTTTCACCAGAGTCACTTTCAGAGGGAGCACAAGAACTTGATAATTGATGTAACAAAAGGCCCGCCTGAAGCATAAAACAATCATTTCGATACCGTTGCGTACCACCTAATACATTCCTCTAGATTACAAAAATTTACCGTATTCTAGCATTTCCTTCACTATTTGACCATTCGAAGATAGGGCAATTAAGATGTTCAGAATGAGAGCACGAGCTGAAAAATCAAGCCGTCAACAAGCTAAAGCTGCGTTCATACCTCGCCACTAAAGCGATATAATCGCCGCGACAGCACTCCGGCCGAAATTGTTACTAAACCGCGGCCGAAGGTCCACAACCGTTATCACAGGTAAAAACCTTTCTGACTCAAGCTCACAGCAGCCCTTCTACGAGCCCCACTACAGCGCGGTCACTTGAGATCGCTCAATAGGCAAAGCCCCCAAGTAACAGCGAAGGATGGACGCGGCCTAAAGAAGAGATCCCGTGCAGAATACAGTCCTCATCATTGCGAATTTCGGGGCGGATCAACGCGCCTGCACTGTGACGCGACAGCGGCTGCGGCTCTCGGTGACGGCGAATCAGGCGATTTTGATGGAATTCGGCTGCGAATTCCCTTTTTTTCAGCTCTTTCAAGCCAGGGTACGCCACTGCTGTACGGCCATTTAAAAGGACGGGGGGGGGCGAGTATTGCCGTGCAGCAGAAAAATTTTTTTGATAGGTGATTTCTCTTGTTCTCCTTATTTCACGGATGCTGCAAAAAGGGGGGGGGTTCGAACTTGGGGTCGTATTTAGTCAGTTCACGGACGCACTACTATAACCGACACTTGAAAGTGATAGTTTAATTCTGACGACCTCCCCCCCCTCCCTCGCTCGACGGCTCGGTTCGATGAGGAAGGACAGAGGGCTGGAGGGAGGGGGGTCGTACCAACTCCCAAAAAAGGGGGGTCGTAATATTTAGTATGTTAGTATGGAATTAGCGTGGGGCGTCGTAATTTTCAGAAAATGATCACAACGCGATGGCGTGCCCTGCTTCAAGCTTCGAAAGTGAGTTATTTTGAACAATTTCAAATTGTACTGGTTCTAATTTCTTTATATTTTTATGTCTTATTATTATGCTCTTTTCCTTGTATTTTGCCTTATTTCAGGCATTTATTCAAATGGCTTGCATTCTTTCAGATTCATTCAGAGCCAGTACAATTTAAAATTGTTCAAAATAACTCACCTTCCACTTTCGAAGCTTGAAGAGCTGAAAAAGTGGGAATTCGCAGCCGAATTCCATGGAAATCAGCTGATTCGCCGTCACCGAGCCGCAGCCGCTGTCGCGTCACAGTGCAGCGCGGCTCAGCCGCCCCGACAGTCCGCAATGATGAGGACTGTAACTTTTGTACCAATGTGATCTTTGAGCAGCTGAGGAAACGGTCCAATCTAGACTTTCTGACAATGAAAAGAAGGAAAAAAAACTACTAAGAACGTTCTCAAAAGGAAGGAACTATAGGGAATACCTAGAAGTCGTTGTGGTACTTGAGAAATGACAAACCTTCCTTCCTGTCCCGCATAAGAATAAACAATGAAGAACAACAGTGAAGATTCGATAAATCCTGTACACATTCTCTGTTCGCCACAGCCAAGGACAACAACTAAAGAAAGCTCTGATGATGTGGATGAATACGGCTACCTGGGCTCAAGCAACCACTCAAGCAAAACTACCTTCAGCGTGGCCAATTGGACATTCGGGAACAATCGCGCACGAAGGTAGGCAATGATCAGATTGAAATGACCGATGAGTAGGATTTCCACCCCTGTAAATCACTGCTTCAGAATATTCAGAAACCACTCAAAATAAGTGGAAACTGGAAACATAGGAAATGCAGAAGCCAGAAACAACGCAAAAAGTGAGCTCTAGGCTACATCAAAAGAGCACCACGAAAACAACCAAAAAACAGCACTTAAGCGGAAGAAACTCACTCTTATCATCGACTAGCATGTGAACTATAAATTTTGAATATCATGATTCTTGAAACAATTGAGTCTTCTTTTGTTTCCGTCATCCTACCAGGTTCTATAGACAAAGCAGATCCTAATAAGGAACTTCCCCAAATGCAATACCCCTCAACATCGTTGAAGCCAACTCACCGAGCTTTTCAACAAAATCAACTTCATTTCTGA